AAATTGGAATAATCACTTGATTCTAAATAAGTACTACATCTGTAACAGGACACAACTAACAAGTAGTACTTCGAGTTAAACTTATCTTTAGCGGATTTCCAGATAACAATGTTGAGTATTAAGTATTATAGAGAGATAAAATAAAGTTTTGTTACAAAAATTGGTTGAACTTGAAAATAATAAAGTGTGTTTCTGTAAAAAAGTGTGTCATTGATAACTAAGTACATTTCCCACCGATTTACAGGGTAATTGACCTCTTAATCTCTAACTATAAACAGATAATAAACCCCTATAATTTTGTCCATTTTAGACAAGGTTTTTCTTAATAAACTTGCTTGCTTTGAAAAACCTTTTGAACTCCACTGTTTATGTAAAAAATTTGTTGCTCGTGACAGCTGTGTTTTATACACTGTTTTACATTTATCTTGTAAAAAGGTTATGACCCGCACTTAGGAACTACAAAACAAGTTGTCTCTAACACTCGTGCCACTCCTCTATATAAATCTCTTCAACGAGATTCTAATAAAACTTTTAAAACAGAGCAACAACAATTTTATATAAATGAATGTAGTTGCTGTAGTCGTATTATCATTATTATGTAGTTATAACCATTTGTTAAATTATGATGTGGATGGATTCCAAGGTTTCTTGCTGTTGCTGTGCTTAAGAGGAGGAAAATACAATAAATAATTTCTATATGCACAAACTAAAGTTTAGAAAAAGAAACCAACCACACAGAAAGTGAGTTCATTAAAAGTACATTCGTTTAAACTCTCGCATAATTTTCATTTTTAAATGCAATAGAAAGAATAAAATACTTGAATTCTTGATTATAAATGATTAAAAACGTTTTATATGGACTATATATACAAAGTGAACTCAACAACAACAACAATAACTAAGTAGAAACCAAATTAACCTTGTGAACTAATAGGAGAATAAATTGATGATGGCGGATAAAATGGAACTAATTGGAAATTAAATATTTATTAAAAGTTTACTTGAACTAATAACAGAAAAAATACAGACATTTTTTGAAAGAGATATTAATGAAAAATATGTTTAAAATTAATAAATAACTAGACCATAGACTAGAATATAGAAGATTATAGACTAGACTATAGACTAGACTATAGACGAGACTATAGACGAGACCATAGACGAGACTATAGACTAGACTATAGACTAGACTAAAGACTAGACTCTAGATTAGACTATAGACTAGACTATAGACTAGGCTATAGACAAGACTATAGACTAGACTATAGACTAGACTATAGACTATACTATAGACTAGACTATAGACTAGACTATAGACTAGACTATAGACTAGACTATAGACTAGACTATAGACTAGACTATAGACTAGACTATAGACTAGACTATAGACTAGACTATAGACTAGACTATAGACTATAGACTAGACTATAGACTAGACTATAGACTAGACTATAGACTAGACTATAGACTAGACTATAGACTAGACTAGACTAGACTATAGACTAGACTATAGACTAGACTATAGACTAGACTATAGACTAGACTATAGACTAGACTATAGACTAGACTATAGACTAGACTAAACTATAGACTAGACTATAGACTAGACTATGGACTAGACTATAGACTAGACTAGACTAGACTAGACTATAGACTGGACTATAGACTAGACTATAGACTAGACTATAGACTAGACTATAGACTATAGACTAGACTATAGACTAGACTATAGACTATAGACTAGACTATAGACTAGACTATAGACTAGACTATAGACTAGACTATAGACTAGACTATAGACTAGACTATAGACTAGACTATAGACTAGACTATAGACTAGACTATAGACTAGACTATAGACTAGACTATAGACTAGACTATAGACTAGACTATAGACTAGACTATAGACTAGACTATAGACTAGACTATAGACTAGACTATAGACTAGACTATAGACTAGACTATAGACTAGACTATAGACTAGACTATAGACTAGACTATAGACTAGACTATAGACTAGACTATAGACTAGACTATAGACTAGACTATAGACTAGACTATAGACTAGACTATAGACTAGACTATAGACTAGACTATAGACTAGACTAAACTATAGACTAGACTATGGACTAGACTATAGACTAGACTATAGACTAGACTAGACTATAGACTAGACTATAGACTAGACTATAGACTAGACTATAGACTAGACTATAGACTAGACTATAGACTAGACTATAGACTAGACTATAGACTAGACTATAGACTAGACTATAGACTAGACTATAGACTAGACTATAGACTAGACTATAGACTAGACTATAGACTAGACTATAGACTAGACTATAGACTAGACTATATACTAGACTATAGACTAGACTATAGACTAGACTATAGACTAGACTATAGACTAGACTATAGACTAGACTATAGACTAGACTATAGACTAGACTATAGACTAGACTATAGACTAGACTATAGACTAGACTATAGACTAGACTATAGACTAGACTATAGACTAGACTATAGACTAGACTATAGACTAGACTATAGACTAGACTATAGACTAGACTATAGACTAGACTATAGACTAGACTATAGACTAGACTATAGACTAGACTATAGACTAGACTATAGACTAGACTATAGACTAGACTATAGACTAGACTATAGACTAGACTATAGACTAGACTATAGACTAGACTATAGACTAGACTATAGACTAGACTATAGACTAGACTATAGACTAGACTATAGACTAGACTATAGACGAACTATAGACTAGACTATAGACTAGACTATAGACTAGACTATAGACTAGACTATAGACTAGACTATAGACTAGACTATAGACTAGACTATAGACTAGACTATAGACTAGATTATAGACTAGACTATAGACTAGACTATAGACTAGACTATAGACTAGATATAGACTAGACTATAGACTAGACTATAGACTAGACTATAGACTAGACTATAGACTAGACTATAGACTAGACTATAGACTAGACTATAGACTAGACTATAGACTAGACTATAGACTAGACTATAGACTAGACTATAGACTAGACTATAGACTAGACTATAGACTAGACTATAGACTAGACTATAGACTAGACTATAGACTAGACTATAGACTAGACTATAGACTAGACTATAGACTAGACTATAGACTAGACTATAGACTAGACTATAGACTAGACTATAGACTAGACTATAGACTAGACTATAGACTAGACTATAGACTAGACTATAGACTAGACTATAGACAGACTATAGACTAGACTATAGACTAGACTATAGACTAGACTATAGACTAGACTATAGACTAGACTATAGACTAGACTATAGACTAGACTATAGACTAGACTATAGACTAGACTATAGACTAGACTATAGACTAGACTAGATAGACTAGACTATGACTAGATATAGACTAGACTATAGACTAGACTATAGACTAGACTATAGACTAGACTATAGACTAGACTATAGACTAGACTATAGACTAGACTATAGACTAGACTATAGACTAGACTATAGACTAGACTATAGACTAGACTATAGACTAGACTATAGACTAGACTATAGACTAGACTATAGACTAGACTATAGACTAGACTATAGACTAGACTATAGACTAGACTATAGACTAGACTATAGACTAGACTATAGACTAGACTATAGACTAGACTATAGACTAGACTATAGACTAGACTATAGACTAGACTATAGACTAGACTATGGACTAGACTATAGACTAGACTATAGACTAGACTATAGACTAGACTATAGACTAGACTATAGACTAGACTATAGACTAGACTATAGACTAGACTATAGACTAGACTATAGACTAGACTATAGACTAGACTATAGACTAGACTATAGACTAGACTATAGACTAGACTATAGACTAGACTATAGACTAGACTATAGACTAGACTATAGACTAGACTATAGACTAGACTATAGACTAGACTATAGACTAGACTATAGACTAGACTATAGACTAGACTATAGACTAGACTATAGACTAGACTATAGACTAGACTATAGACTAGACTATAGACTAGACTATAGACTAGACTATAGACTAGACTATAGACTAGACTATAGACTAGACTATAGACTAGACTATAGACTAGACTATAGACTAGACTATAGACTAGACTATAGACTAGACTATAGACTAGACTATAGACTAGACTATAGACTAGACTATAGACTAGACTATAGACTAGACTATAGACAAGACTATAGACTAGACTATAGACTAGACTATAGACTAGACTATAGACAAGACTATAGACTAGACTATAGACTAGACTATAGACTAGACTATAGACTAGACTATAGACTAGACTATAGACTATAGACTAGACTATAGACTAGACTATAGACTAGACTATAGACTAGACTATAGACTAGACTATAGACTAGACTATAGACTAGACTAAAATATAAATTTTAAGTATTTTTAAACTGTCATTATATGCAATTGATAAAAATTAAATAATTTGTTAACATAGGTCGTTTAAACTTTACATTCCAAAAATTTATATTTTCGGAATTATAAAAACATGATGAAACTTATCATAAATATAATGACAATGTTTTCATTTTTGCCGTTTAATGTTTTAATCGGCATAAACAAAATGTTCAAACAAAAAATTGATTTACTATAACTAAAGATAAAAAGTGTTTAATGCAAAATAATAACTCTAGTCATATTAACATTTGTAGGCAGGGAACCTAGGAATTCTAAACGATTTTTGACAACACAAACATATGATAGAAATAAAAAATATTTCTCATACTATATTGCAATTGTTGTTAAACGATATTGATTATCAGACAGCGACAATATCTTATCAATAACAAAAAAGTAGTAGAAGTATACACAGAAATATTTATATATGTACATACAAACCTAAATACTACTTGCATATTTTACGCTTTGACCGTCTAAATTACCTTTAAATTGTAACAGTTTCGATTTAGATGTTTAACTATAAACACAAACATTTCTTTTAAAAATGTCACAATTAAGACCCTTGAACAAGGATCTAGAGGAAATTGCCTATAGGGATTTAAATGAAATTAAAACCCGCATACCCCAAGATTTGCAGTCATTACGTGCTTGGCTGGAAAAACAACCCCATTTGAAGTCTAGAACTGATGATCAGTTTTTAATAGCATTTTTACGTTTCTGTAAATATAGTTTAGAAAGTGCTAAACAACGTATAGATTATTTTTATACCTATAAAACAACGGCAAAAGATTTACTTAAATCAAGAAGTATAGATGAGAAAATTTTGGATATAGCACAATCGGAGTAAGTTTAATATAGAAATTATGTAAACAAAATTTAAATGGATTTCCTTTTTAAAGCATACTTTACACCTTACCCAAGCCGGCCGGAGGACCTGGTGGCCCTCGTATACATGTTACGGTTATGGCCAATATAAATCCTTCCCTACACTCAGTGGCCGATATATTTCGTTATCATGTAATGCGCAGTGAAATCGAAATTAATACCGATGACAATTGGAATATAACGGGTGTTATTGAGATAGTAGATTTTTCCAAAATACCTTTTGCCTTTTTAAAGCAATTTGAATTGAGTTTGTTTAAACAAATGTCTGCCATTTTAGAACATGGTATACCCACCAATTTAAGGGGCACTCATATAGTGAATGCCTCCAAAGAAGTACAAATAATTATGGGTTTAATAAGGAATGTAATGAAACAAAAGGATTTGGTAGGTTAACTTCTGCTAAGAATTATCATTATTTAACTTTATTTATTGGTTTTAAAGCTACATGTTCATCCAAATTTGGACTCCTTACAACAAGCCATAGGTAAAGAATATTTACCTGTGGAATATGGTGGTTCTAATGGTACTCTCAAGGAGGCAGCTGAGAATTACGAAAAACTTTTACTGAGTTTTAAGAGTTATTTTGATGAAGATGATCGTTATGGTGTGGAGGAAAAGTTGCGCCAGGGTGAAAATGTTTGCGTATTATTTGGTGATAGTGCTTGTGGTTCATTTCGTAAATTAGATATAGATTAAAGGTGTTTCGAAATACAAATGTTTAATATGTTTCTATTTAGTATTTTTTATCTTTTATTATAGTTTTATTGTCTGTAGATGTTTATAAAAATAAAATTTTATTATGTCAATAAAATCGTGCATATAATTTCTGACAGTGTTTATTAAAAGAGATTTAATAGAAAAGTTTCTCTATGTGTTGCATTCTCTTCAGCTGAAAAAGCTTGTTTCTTAATACGAAAGCTTTTTTAACTTTGTTGAAAAAAGCCGGCATATACACATGCCAGATGATTTTATATTATTCCTATTAGGGGAAAAATGTTCAGCTGCTTGAGAGCTAGGGAATACACATTTAGTATCGGAAGCCCTTTATGACTTGTAAATGAAGAAGATCGCTTTGTTATAACACCGCAGTACTTAGTTATAATCGCTTAGATGTTCATTAAATGTCTATTATCTCTGTCCAGTAACAAGACCTTTACCAAATTCCAGGAGTTTCTTTTTGATGACTCTAGTAATGGGATTTTTCTTGGAGGGTTTTCTAGCTCTCAGTAGATTTTCTATAGAAAATTTGTTGCTGTCAATAGATTTTTTATAGAAAATATTTTGCACAATAGATTTTCTTTTAGAAAAGTTTTGTTCTTAATTCATTTTCTATAGACAAGTTTTGCTCTCAATAGATTTTCTATATAAAAGTTTTGCTCTTAATTGATTTTCTACAGAAAAGTTTTGCTCTCAATAGATTTTCTATGGAAAAATTTCGCTCTCAATACATTTTCTATAGAAAAGTTTCGCTCTCAATAGTTTTTCTACAATTTTTGCTTTCAATAGATTTTCTATAAACAATTTTTACTCTCTATAGATTTTCTATAGAAAAGTTTCGCTTTCAATAGATTTACTATGGAATTTTCTATAGAAAAGTTTTGCTCTCAATAGATTTACTATAGAAAAATTTCGCTCTCAATACATTTTCTATAGAAAAGTTTCGCTCTCAATAGTTTTTCTACAATTTTTGCTTTCAATAGATTTTCTATAAAAAGTTTTTACTCTCTATAGATTTTCTATAGAAAAGTTTTGCTCTTAATTGATTTTCTATATAAAAATTTTGTTCTCAATAGATTTTCTATAGAAAAATTTCGCTCTCAATACATTTTCTATAGAAAAGTTTCGCTCTCAATAGTTTTTCTACAATTTTTGCTTTCAATAGATTTTCTATAAAAAGTTTTTACTCTCTATAGATTTTCTATAGAAAAGTTTTGCTCTCAATATATTTACTATGGAAAAATTTTCCTCCCAATAGATTTTATATAGAAAAGTTTTGCTCTCAATAGATTTTCTATAGAAAAGTTTCGCTCTCCATAGATTTGCTATAGAAAAGTTTCGCTCTCAATAGGTTTTCTACAAATTTTGCTCTCAATAGTTTTTCTATAGAAAATATTTGCTCTTAATAGATTTTCTTTAAAAAAAAATTTTACTCTCAATAGATTTTCTATAGAAAATATTTGCTCTTATAGATTTTCTATAGAAAATTTTTGTTTCCAACTGATTTTCCGAATTTATTTCAAAATATTTTTCTGTAGATCTGGTAGCCCCTTTATACTTGCCGTTTACTAAACATTCCAAAAATACAACAAAAACAATCTTAAAAGAGACAAACAAAGTAATCTAGCTCTATTTATTAAGAGGGGGAAAAGAAAGAGATTGGGGTAGACATCATCATAAACAACAAGAAGAAAAAAGCTACAACTGAACTTTAGACTAGTCGATCAACTAAGTGGGAGCTGTTGGTTTAAGATTTGTGCAAAATAAATTGTAATATTTAGTAAAAAATGTCGAAATTGGTTAAATATTATTTTGATTTAATGTCCCAACCCTCCCGGGCTCTATGGATAGCCTTGAAAATGGGTAATACACCATTTGAAGAGTGTCCAGTGGCCTTAAGAAAAAGTGAGTTCATTAACTTAATAATAAAATAGCAAATAAAGTAAACAACTTTATTTCATTAGGAGAACAACTTACGGAGGAATATAAAAAAGTTAATCGTTTCCAAAAGGTACCAGCTTTAGTAGATGGTGATTTTCATCTCTCAGAATCGGTGGCTATGATCAGGTACATATTTGTTTAACCTAAATGAGTTTTATTAATAGTTTGTTTTTATTAAATTTTTGGGGCAAATTTCATTTTCTAAAGATATTTAGCCGATAAAGGTTTATTTAGCCCTGAACTCTATCCCAAAGATTTGCAAAATCGTGCCCGAGTTGATGAGTTTTTGGAATGGCAGCATTTGACATTACGTGCCGGCTGTGGTACGTATTTTATGCGCTGTTGGCTTTTGCCCATGAATGGTTTGGCTCATATGCCTTCTCAGGAGGGTATATATAAGTTGATTAAAGAAATGGAAAACAATATAAAATTGGTAGAGAAAATCTGGTTAAAGGATGCCGATTTTGTAAGTGGTAAAAAGTTAACTGTGGCCGATTTGATGGGGGCCTGTGAAATTGAGCAAACTAGTAAGTAGTAAAAAGCTTTTAACTTAGTATTGGACGATATAATTCTGAAATAAAATTTTAATTGCAGAGCTTTGCAAATATGATGTTACGAAAAAGTTCCCCAGAATTTCAGATTGGTTGGCTAGGGTGCGTGAGGAAACGAATCCCCACTACGATGAAGCTCACAAGTTTATTAACAAAAAGTCGGGCTTGTAAATATTTACATAGTAGCCTTTTTAATGGGCTATATATTATTTTAAAGACTTAAATATTTGTTAAACAAATTCTATTTTAAAACAACAATGCATTTCTTAATTTTTAATTTAATTTTGTTGTATATTTTTTGTTTTTTCAAAAAAAAAAAAAAAAAAAAAATATTTGTTTGAAAATTTTAATTTTTAATAAAAAATATGTTAAATTTTCCTAAAATATATTAATTTAGTGTACACTAAGAGAAAAAGTTTACTTAAGTTTGAAAATTTCAAAACTTAAGCGTAACTTCTGTCGTAATACATCGCTGGGCTCAACAGAGAAGCGAAGACGGAAATCCGTCCTTTCACAAGAAAGACAACATTTTCTAGGATATGATCTACAAGGCACATCAGTGCTGGGCGATATGTAGGAGAACTATAGGCATGAAATGGGATCTTAACCCTACCATGACAAATTGGCTTTATAAAAGTGTAATTACACCAATTCTACCTTATGCTTCAATAATCTGGTTTGGGAGACAAAGTGGAACTGGGGTTCTATATTGAAGACCCAGAAACAGAAATATATCACCATTTACCTAATCATAACACAAGCTTCCAGGAAGAAGTCCGAGCAATAACGGAATGTGTAAATTGGATCAGAATGAATATGGCGCCTACAGGGGTTAATATATTTACCGACAGCGGTAAATTGGATTGTAAGAAATCTATAACTGAATACTCTTCCAGAGGTAAGGTTTACATCATATGGATACCACGCAAATCGGGAGTAATAAGTAACGAAAGGACGAATGTAATAGCTTTAAAGGGAAGGGAGCTTGAGGTAGTTAACCTGACTAACGCAAAACCATTCGACGCAACAAAAGCTGAATTAAAAATATGGGTAAGAGAATCCCATAAGGCATCTTGGAAATAAAACGGTGGTTAGAACCACAAAGATCCTAATGGGTGACGAAAAATCTCCTTAAAATGAGCAAGTCCGAGGTTAGTATGATGGTACGTATTCTGAGTGAACACACAGGATTACGAGAACTTCTATATTAAATAGGACGTGCGGATTCAGACGAATATTGGCAACGGATTGTTTGCAATAGTGAACTTACCACGTTTGTTAACATTTAGACAACGTATGTGTAAAAAATTTAGATTTCGACAACGAATTGTTGCAATGTTGACAACGTTGCGACATAGTGTTGTCGTACGTATGTATATACTTTGACAACGGTTGTTATTGAAAAATTACAAACTCTTTGGTGCCAATTTGGTACCAAGCGTGTATATTTCTTTTCCCTCTGTGTTCGAATTCGACTCGTTCACATACTCTTAATACTAAACAGCTGATTGTACTTTAGAAGTTATTAAAGATTACTTTTCATTCCTCTGAAGACTGCCTTATTATACTGCCAATCTTCTAAAAGCTTACATTATCATAGAGATTTAAAATAGGGAGCCTCTTATAGAATTTCATTCCGATATTATTTTTCATTAAAAGTTAAAAAAAAACTATTTTTGGTTTCTCTAAATTTATTATTTTAATTAAAAATCTTTGTATATTTTGTCATTTTGTTAAAAAAAATCATTTCACTTCCAACATTAGGAATTACTTGTACAATTTAATCAATGTCTAATTTTCTAAAAGAACCCTCAATGCCAAACAATGATTCCGAATTGACAGGTCGACCAGGTCTTAGTTTTTCATTAGTACAATATTGAACCTCTTCATCAAAATAGGATTTGTATTCCAAAAGTTTCTTTTCCCAGGTATTGATAACATCCTGAACAGTACCATTACTGCCGCCATATTCTGCAGGCAAACAATCTTGAGGTATATAATCGTATAAAGATTCATATTTGGAGTGAATATGGAACTGGAAAAGTTTAAAACATAAATTGTTAAATATTGTTTTAACTATAGTTAAAGATAAAACTTACTCTTTGTTTTATTTTCTCACTCATTAAACTTTTAGCTATGGAGAGTAATTTTTCAGTGCCCGAGGGAGCATTAACAAAGTGGAAACCTTTGGGTCTGTAGGGCCAAGCTTTATCACCCAAAACAGCTAGTTTCTTCACTAGAACAGCATCAAATTGAAATATATGACCGGCTGCTACTCCCTTGAGATCTATAACTTCTAAGAAGCCCATAACCATGGCATTGTCATCTTCATGAAATTGTATTTCACCCAACATGGTGCCAACTTTAACGACTTCAGTTAAACTAAATTTATCGGTATCGTAAAGACCATAACGGGATATGTGTATGCGAGGACCATCTTCACTTAAAGGTTTGGGCAGACGCAATAAACAGCTGTTGAAAAAAAGTTAAAGAAAATTAAGTATAAATAAGAAACTTCAAGGGGACCAGTTATTTTTGTTATCTCCAGAGTTAAATTTTTTAGCATTTTAGCTTTTAGGTTATATTTTAACTAAATAACTAAATGTTACCTTTGATTCCTAATACCATTAATTATCAGATAACAATACATTTATGTATTTTCATTAGCGTTCCCACTTACCCTTGTCTCAATATAGCAATAGCTTTATCATCTACAAAACGATTTTTATATAATTCAGGCACCGCATTTCGCATGGCATAAAAGCTATCAATCTTCTGTTTAGCCTTTTCCAAACTATATTTACAGCCGCGCAAGAAGGCCACCAATAATTGATCATCTGTGCGTGCTTTTAAATGGGGCTGTTTTTGGATCCATTCACGTAATGCTTTGATATCGTCATCGATGCGTTCGGGTTTCTCGCCCAACTCCTCTTGAGCTTTTAACGCTAATTTAGCTGATAAAGGGCGGATTTTTGACATTGTTTATCTGAGAATATAGTTTTGTAAATAAAGTAAACAATTATTATTGATGATGTCTTTTAGTCGATAAAATGTTTTAAGTACTTTTATAGGCTACTGGTTTTTTCTAAACTAGAAAAAACAAGTAAGAAAGTTTAGTCGGGCGTGGCGGACCATATAATACCCTACACCAGTTATGAGTATTAAATGTGATTTATTTTTCATAATAAAGCATTTATCTTCAATATTCCCTTGTTCCGATACATTTAAGCAATTTATGGATGAAAAACTTATTTTCTGAAAGAGGCTTTATATGGGGGCTAGGGGCAAATATGGACCAAGCCCGATAAAATTTTGTGAATATATTTATATTTACATAATATTTTATTGTGCTGAATTTCATCGCGATATTTGTGTTTATAAGTTAATTTGGAACATTAAGTAATTTTCTGAAGGGGACTTTGTATGGGAGCTAGGGTCAAATGGGGCCCGATCTTTATGAAATTTGGCAGGGTCATCAAGACTTCTATAAAACTTAGTTGTGCCGTATTTTATAGATATATCTGTATATTTAACATAATTATGAGCTCAGAAGCCCTTTTCGGGGGGTTCTGTTCTATGGGGGCTAGGTGAAACAATGGACCGATTTTAACCATTTTCAATAGGCTTCGTCCTTGGGTCAAACAAAACGTGCGTGCCAAATTTCATCCAATTATCTTGAAAATTGCGACCTGTACCTTGCGCACAAGGTTTACATGGACAGCCAGCCAGCCAGACGGACGGACGGACGGACATAGCTTAATCGACTCAGAAAACGATTCTAAGCCGATTGGTATACTTTAAGGTGGGACGAATATTTTTGTATGTTATAAACATCAGCACAAATCCAATATACCCTCCCCACTAAAGTGGTGTAGGGTATAAATATTACACCCTCATTGTTCAAAAAAGTTAATGTTAAATAATTATTTATTTTACTTTTTCTCTTCAGTTTCTGAAACTGCATTGGTATAGTCGTCGTTTTCTATCTATTTATTTAACCATTCACCTGGTTGAACGGTTTTTGGCTGATTATTTTTATTATATTTATGTCAATTTGATAAGAAATTTGTCTATATGAAAAATAAACATACCTAAATAAGAATGATAAGGACTTATAATGAACCTATTATCTATTTGTTGTTACACTAAAAATTAGAAATATATGTTTAACGTGTGTATTTTGTAATCACCTATTTCATGAGTAAAAAAGGTTTGGCTGTTTCCGATATTCAAAAAGTTAATCACAATTTCAAACTGATTAACGCCCCATTTTAAGTTCAAGGGTTTCAAAATCGTACGACAGACCACTGGGAACCTAAGGTCTCACACTCTTTAACATAATTGATCTCGTTGGTCTATACCTTTAAGTTTTGGACTATTCACGTTATTAATGACATATGACAACTTTAAAAACTAGGTCTGTCGCTTTAAACGTTTTTTGATATGTCAAACAATAGATTTAAATTTAATAGATATTTCACTCAAATTCTATAGAAAATAATCTAAATTTTGATACAAACACTATAAAAGTATTAGGAATAATTTATACAAATCGGACTACAATTGATAAGACTTTGGTCTTCATTATTTTTTTCAGTGTATAATTTTTTTATTATATTTTTACCAGTCTTTTTGCTGCTTAGAAATAAGTATCTATAATATCAAAGACAACTAAATAAAAAAAATCAATATATAATAACATCGCTAATAACACCCATAAAATAATACACATAAAATATATGACGTTTACCAATTAAATTTTTTGTAGTACAGTTAAATAGGCTTCTAGAAAATTATTGCCAAAAATTTACACATAGATTTAAAAACAATTTTTCGGACAAGATTCGTAGTAACAGGAACTCACAACAGGACCAAACTTAGTCCAGTTCTAGTTCAGTTCTAGTTCAGTTCTAGTCAGTTCTAGTTCCGTTCTAGTTCAGTTTAGTCAGTTCTAGTTCAGTTTAGTTCAGTTCTAGTTCAGTTCTAGTTCAGTTCTAGTTCAGTTCTAGGTTCAGTTCTAGTTCAGTTCTAGTTCAGTTCTAGTTCAGTTCTAGTTCAGTTCTAGTTCAAGTTCTAGTTCAGTTCTAGTTCAGTTCTAGTTCAGTTCTAGTTCAGTTCTAGTTCAGTTCTAGTTCAGTTCTAGTTCAGTCTAGTTTCAGTTCTAGTTCAGTTCTAGTTCAGTTCTAGTCAGTTCTAGTTCAGTTCTAGTTCAGTTCTAGTTCAGTTCTAGTTCAGTTCTAGTTCAGTTCTAGTTCAGTTCTAGTTCAGTTCTAGTTCAGTTCTAGTTCAGTTCTAGTTCAGTTCTAGTTCAGTTCAGTTCTAGTTCAGTTCTAGTTCAGTTCTAGTTCAGTTCTAGTTCAGTTCTAGTTCAGTTCTAGT